GGTCTGAAGGTAAGTTTCCCCATTTTACTCTAGTCTGTACGCAAATCACCGATTTCAAAACCCATTTTATTCTTTAGCTTAATCCAAAAAACAAGGTCTGCTTAGTTTCTTTTATTCATTGCGCATTAAGTTATTACCGATTTCGCMAGAGCAGATTCTCCTTTAATGTATTTCAGTGCAATTCAGTTCAGCTCAACTTGTAMAAGTGCCGTTCTAGCGCGTCTATCAAATTAAATTTTAGATGCTTTAAGCAAAAAAAAGACGGAGAAAGTCGATATGCAACATTCATTTTTGGCGTTTCATAAACTGACATATGGTATTGTTATGCTATTTGTCAAGGATTTTCGCGGTGTACGCCTTTCTCAAATTTTGTCTATTAAGACTATTAAAATGTCAAAGTGCAATACTGTTTCAATGATTTTCAATGATCCATGTATCATTATTTCGAACATGACAATTTATTCAATATCTATTATATAGAACCTTAAAAAAACGTTGATTCTCCAGACTAAACATCACTGAATTTTATTGAACAAATACATCATGATTTCAGAATGCAATGTCACGACTAAATACTTTAGTTTTATACTAAGATTTTTATTTGTTTTCACAAGCGCACCCAGTTTAGTAGTGTTACCCCAAAAAAATTCAATTGTTCACTAAGGAGGAGAAGTTCAATGACAGTATACTTGAGGAAAAAAGATGCCATTGACCTTAAAGGAAGATATGCCAGACAACGATTTCGACGCGTTTTGCCCGAGGCTAATTCTAGATCGCGAGACTATCTGATCGCGAGTGAATCTGACTTTGGACTTTGCAAAGCCGTTAATTTATGCTCATTATTCGTTGCGAATCGAAATTCTCTGTATCGTTTGCGCGGGATTCTTTATGTGCGTAACCTTGTGACTGTGATGACTCCAGCCTTTTTTTGATGAAGTTTTATTTTCTTATTTGAAAAGAATTGGCAAACAAAAGTACTCTAACAGGTTCAGTTATATACAATGCTTRCAGACAAAGACTCTTAGGACAAATGCTTGGCAACAGTGTCCACTCRACAGATATGGAATGACTTGAGAACTGACGGAATTTTTTCATCGATGACAAGGACGATATCAGTTGTTCCCTTTTTCAAAATGTTCAGTTGTAGAGGTGCCGTATCTTTGGAAMCAACAGTTCACCTTGAACTTTTCTCACGCTCCAGGACCTTTATATATACCACCCGAGTAGGAGAACTTCAAAATGCTCAAAATGTAGTCGTAGATCGTTGTGTATTGTTATGAATTCGAATTTCCAGCCAAGTTTACACATGTTCGAAGGTCYTAATTGTTTGAGCCATGTGTCATCAAGGGCTTATCACTATTCTTTTTCGTGGGAAAGTCTACAATGCATTGCGCCTGATGACTCCAGCCAATCAGACACCATTATGCCACCTGTAAAAGACGCTGTCGCATAACAATTCCCAAGGCAATCATCTCCAGGGATACAATTGGCGCAATGAGGAAATTACTCTAGAAATTTAAAAATATAGCGTTACTGMTGAGCAGATTGACTTGGTACGGCTTCTTTTGGCCAGCACTAAAATAAAAGTCAATTTTAGYGCGTTGTGTATTTTTGGTATGATTAATAGCAGTCATTTTTAATTGATATTTACATCTCTYTTAAGTGCATCACTCAACAGCACAGTGAATCTTGAGATTGTTCGATAATTACTGAAGGACTCTTTATTTTGCATTGCGATGAAGCGTTAAGTTAACCCTTTTAGAGATCCACATCACAATACCCACAATACAATTAGTTAAATGTATATAGACAAGGCTAGTCACGTGATTACTATGCAGCCAATCGATGACAAGAATTCGTATGTACAAATAACCTTGATTTGGTATTGATTTATTGAGATATAATGTTGATATGGTATAAAAGGCAATTCTGTTGTCTTATGAAGCTCTATGAGTCTTCATAAATACTGTCAACATTAAGGTGGGTGAGATCATAAAACCATTCGATTATCACTGAATGAAATCTACTCCAAAATTCACCTKAAAGTTAAAAAATAATAATAATAGTTGCAGTAAGTTTTTTAAGATTTTTTTCTATTGTCAACAGAATCAACATTATCTCAACTAAAGCTGAAAAGGAATGAAACGTTTCAGCCAATTGATGTCCAATCAAACAGATATGTGTAGTCCGACACAAGACTTTGTTTTCTTGCAAGACGGCAAGCCTAMGGTAAAGATKGACGAKGACCGCATCACTCGTCAAGCTAAKTTATTACCGACTGCAAATATGTACATCATGAACAAAAATTTGACAAGTGAAAACAAACAAGGGAGGATATCATCTCCTTTGGACGCAAGRGTTAGAAGACTTCGAGCTAATGACAGAGAACGTCGTAGAATACAATCTATCAATGGAGCAATGGAGGCCCTGAGAAGAGTCATTCCTGACACTCAAAACAACCGCAAAGTCACAAAGCTACAGTTGTTGAAGCTTGCACAGGACTATATCAAATATCTTTCCGAAGTTCTGCAAACAACAGAAGGCTCATCAATGCAAACGTCAGCCTATAGGATAACGACGCAAATCGACCTTGATTCCAATGGATATTTTCCGCAGCCATTGAACTGCGATAGTTTTATTGACTGCTTCGGACATCAGTCTTGTTAGTATGTACAGTTATATATAAAATGAATGTTATTACCCATTATTTTAGTTAACATATTGTAATAATTTTTTTTTAATAGATGAATTAGGATGTTTTTTTCTAAAAACGAACTCTCTGCTTGTAACAAGCAAATTATGCACATTAATTTGAATTAAGTTAATTTAGCCCACGAAATGCTATCTTTCCTGAGAAAGTCCAAATCTAAAAGCACATTTTTGCACTCTAGGAATTTAGAAGTGGACTAAAGGTCAGCAAAAGGTCAATAGATCGATTARTTTTCTCAAAAATGTACATATATAACTGTCAAAAAGCGTTTTTGATCGGCACAGGCTGAGATTTGTTGCACTATTATAATGAATGGTATTTAGGTTCGACCTCTATTTAGTTCAAAATAGACCATTTGCTATTGTCTGAAGGAATTACAATAAGATTGAATAAAACGTGGTTTATTGTTAYCTTTGTGTAGATTGATTGTCCAAATGTTCAGATCTATAATCTCTCTTTATTGCAACTAACAGAATGATTTAATGAGATAAAAAAACAGAAGATAAAATGGTGATAACAAAAAGARGATGGATAAATCGCCACACCTATCATTAGACAAGGGCAGGCTCATAGTTATTCATCTCGCAGAGTAACTAAAATTGCGCAATGTACTCTATCCTSAGGGTCAATTSAAAAGAAAGAAAAAAGGACAACAAGATCGCTTTCTACTGTTATTATAATTCAGCCACTGACTCGCTTCTGGCAGTGCTCCAAGTCAACCACGTGGATCAGACAGCAGACAAGCGTTTAACATAGATKTTTAACTCTCTTTTAAATCAATTAYKWMCRT